AAAAAAAAAAAAAAAAAAAAAAAAAAAAAGGCAAGGAAAAACACAGCTGATCATATTTGTTAAAGTTCACTAATTTCCAGAAGAAGAAAAGTCCTCCATCAAGGTATAGTTGAGACAAATAATTTATTCCTCTGAAGGGTAGGTAACTCGAGAAAAGTCCAATTTGCTCCTGATTACTACAGTCCGGGAACTTCATGATTAAATAACATATTTTCAAACTTCACACTGTAGACCTATGTCCCAAACAGATTTTTCCTATTACTGTCAAAGTCCACTGCATTTCATATACCTGTGTGTAGACATATAAAGGTATCTACAGTACTTTGTTGGTTTGGATCAAATGTCCACGAAGTAACAAACTATAAACAATTCTGGTATTTGCACTGCGTGTATACTTAGATATGCCCGCAAAAGTGTTCTGTTGATGAATTTAAAAAACTATGTTAAGATGCCCAATAAATCTATTTCATTATGAAATAAAGACTTGGATTAAGAATATATTTTTATTAGGTATTTTGGTAACAAATTGTCATTGTAGGTGTAGTAGACTTATTCCATGTATTTTTAAAAGTAAATGAATCCCACTGTAGGTTTTCATGAAGGAAAAAAATCATTTCTCCAGTTGCTGAGGGGTACTAAAGGCTTCGTACACATTAGCAGCAAAGTCTTTCACTTGCTCCATCATCAAGAGATCCTAGCAAAGATGACAGTATAAGGTTAATGTCTGCAAAACGTATGAGTAACTCATTTTGAAGTCATTTCTATAATCAAGCAATGAATCTGGCACTGAGTTTTATGGTACACAAGGCCAAGAAAAAACCATTTAAGGAAAGGAATAATTTTTTTGTTTTTGTAGTACTGGGGGTTAAACCCAGGCTCTTTACACTGACCTACCTCCCCGGCCCTTTTTGATTGTTAATTTTTATTTTGAGACAGGTTGTTGCGAAGATGCCTGTGCTGGACTAGAACTTGGGACCTGCCTCACCCTCTCAAGAGCTCTGGGATTGAAGGTGTGTGCCACCACACTTGTCTCTTGTTTAGGTTCTCGGGCAAAAGACAGTAGTGCAGGTATCCAAGTCTGACTCAGGAAAACCCTCAAAGAGTCTTCACACAGATTTCTGTGTGTCAAGTATTAGACAAGTTTCCTTTCAGTAAACGATCTCCACACTAAAGTTACACGACTAAAGTTACTTCTGCTGGAATCTGACTTGGTTGAGGTACATGTCTTTCTAGAAGCTCTAACATATGATATGTATAAATGTAGTATGTACACATTATATATACATCCATGTACAAAACTTTGGAATGAAGGTTCTTAAGCACCCCCCATGTAATTTGTGAATGCAAAGAAAAAAGATATTTTATTTTCATTAACTCCTAACTGAAATCTAGCATTTTCTTCAAATATAACACAACAAACTGCAACAGTATTAAGCAAAATATATGAATTTGTCTTCAAAAGTAATCACAGATATTTCTTTATCACACGGTAGTAGTTCTTATAACCCCCATTACACCTTGCAATTTAACACACAAATAAGGAAAACACTACTACATCATAAATTTGATCTTAAAAGGTGTTTCGAAAACTGCATATTGATTTCCTTAAAAATGTACAAAGAGGAAAATTTTTTAAAAAGTGTACTTTTTGCTGGCATTTGTAGGTATGACTCTGAAAACAGTTCCACAGGATTCACCAAGTGGTGAAGGGTCCATGACAGAGAACGTTAGGGTCTCCATGAGCATCGGAGACAGGAAGTGAACCTGGCCTCTGAGTTCTGTTTGGAGTATCAGAAAACTCACGTGAGACTTAGGTAAAACTTGATCTTCAGTCAGCTCACAGTTAAATTCTCTTATGAGAGAATGTTATGTATTTAATTTCAATTACTCATTCTGCTTGTACAATAAAACAGTTTCAGACCAATGTTTACTAATGACATGCCTTCAGGGACCCAAGAATTTGAGAGAGAATTCTGTGTTTTGACTTCTGTGAATATCTAAAAGAAAACTCAGACACACACTGGATCACCTGGAGATACATGCATGATCTAGTATTGACCCTGATTTAGAGCATTTGTTTGTATTTATGTTTATGTTCTTGTTGGCTCCATTATATTAACTGTGTGTCTTTTGAGATAATAAGAAGACAACAAAGGCAAGGAGGAAAAAATAAGGGTAGAAAATCTTTTGAATGAAGAGCAAATCATATTATCTCACATGACACAAATGCAAGTTTCAGAACAGTTAATGGTAGCTAACAAGTGCCTGTCCAGTCAGGTGTAGAAGCAGGCTGAACGCCCAAAAGCATGGATGATAGCAAAGAAACCCACATGCACCCTGAAACAATGAATTGATAACAACCAGCCATATTATAGTCAGGTATAGTAATGTTTTGAACTTTTGTGTTTAAATTATTTTTTATTTTTGTATGGTTTAGGGTCCGTTTGGTGTAGATGAGTTTTGGTTTCTGAGTTATGGAAAAGCTCTAAGTTTCAGACGTTTCTATAGTTATTTATTTATTAAAATAACTTAAATCTGGAAGATTGTTATTGTTTTCACAATCAGAAGTATAATAATAAATTTGAGAAACATTACCATAATACAAAAGCAGCCAAAATTAACACATAAATCAAAAGGCACAGCTGTTGTCCAACGAAACTTACAAAAACAGGGGGTGGGCCATGTCGTTGGCTGTGCCTAGCTCTACAGCAAAGGCTTAAACTTGTTTACTGTATCTTATTGCAGCCTTCAGAACATGCTTTCAGTTTTGAAATAAAAATTATGTATCACCAAGTTAGTTCAGATTACCAATGCTCTTTGCTTGTGCTATTTGCAAGAAATGTGAAACAATTAGTCTCCTTATGTTTTGGAAAACAATTTGAAAATAATACAAAATTAGCTTTTTCAACAGTTTTCTGATTTTCCCATTTCCTACCTTCCTGGCTATACTATCATCCTGATATCTTCTACCACCAATACCAGCCAAGTAGGATTGGCAGGCTAAATATAATCCTCTGCTGCCTATTTCTCTATATGAAGTTTTACCAAAACAGCCACACTCATGTTCATGTACTTTTGATGACTATTTTCCTGTTACATAACAGAGCTGAACAGTTTCCACACAGAACGTACAGTATGCGCAAAGCCTCAAATATTTACCACAGGCCATGCACCCCCAATCCCAAACCCCAAATCTGAAATGCTCTAACTCTGAAACATCTTGATCATCAGTGAGATGCCATAAATGGAAAATTCCACACCTGACCTCATGCAAACAGGTCAAAGTCAAAATGCAGATGTGGTAAAAATATATAAAATGACCTTCAGGCTGTGTGTGTAGGGTACAGATGAAACATACATGAATTTCATGCTTACACTTGGGCCCCATCCCTAGGATATCTTATTTTGTATATGCAAATATTCCCAAATCCAAAATAACCCCAAATTTAAAAACACTGTGATCCCAGCCTTTCAGGTAAGAGCTCTGTCTGTCTCCGGGCCATTAGTTTGCCAAGCCTGCTCCACAGCACCCCTACAAGATGATCTATGTACTTCTGCGACTGAAGGAGCAGCAGTAATGCAGAAGTATTAATTTCAATGTAAGTTAACATTTTAATCAAGGCTCTATAAAAGATAATGGAAATAACAGAGCACCTGACAATTTGTTAGGTTAAGAAGACCATCTGGGATTTTTTTTTGTTTTTGTTTTTCTTCTGGTACCAGGAATCGAACTCACGACCTTGAGCTTGCCAGGAAGGTGCTTTTGCCGCTGAGCTAAATCCCCAGCCCTGACCATCTGGGATTTTAACTCAGAAATCATAGTTTAAAAAACTAGTGGGAGCCTTGCCAATCAAGGGTCTAAGGCATAAATTTAATCAGTGTCAATTCACATTAAAAACCTTTATCAAACTTTAATAGCAATAGTGTTTTTACTAGATTGAGAGTCTTTTTATTATCAATTATATATTTTAATTACAATGGAGTAATAACATTATTTAATATTTAAGCCTGATGACACTATTTTATTTCCCACCTTTCTGTCAAAATGAAGAGCCTGCTTGTTACACCAGGGAGTTCTGCAGCTGAACAGAAAGGTAAAGCTAAAAATGTCACAAGTCACATGCTTTCCTCCGCCTGAGGAGAAGCTCAAAGGTTAGTGACATGTGCCCAGCCGTACTGACTCCTCAGCGATGTGAGCAAGTCTCTTATAGGCAAGGCTGCAGCGCTGAAGACTGAATAGTGGAGGAGAATGCGTGTGGGAAGGACAGGCTACTGACTGCAGGGAAAGTGCGAACAGAGGCGGTAACCTTGGTGTTCCCACCTTCCCGAGCGCAAAGCTTGCAGACAAGACATACCGGCTGACTGAGGGAAATGGCGCCAACAGCGGTCATCTTTACACTTAGACGTTAAAGTCCGTCCTTTCTGCACATTATTGCAGCAGCTGGCAACTGAGACGCTGCGTACATTTTTATTTATAATACAGTGCCTGAGTTTATAAATGACTCTGAAAAAATTATGTAGATTCGAAATTATTTTAGTAACACCAATTTTACTCTGCATGTCTAAGAAAACGTGGGAGTGGTAGGTATTTAGTGAAAAATTTAAGTAACTCATTGTTTATGCAGATTTTAATGAGAGAATGATGTACTATTAACAGTAATGGTTCATTAATTAAAATGCTTTACTTCTCCACAAAATTTTTTAGTTCTCTTCAAACGCTGACGAATTCAGTCACTGATTTGCCTCAACTAGCGAGCTTGGTGCACTTGGTGCACAAGTGAATGCTATCTCTGCCCCCAGGACATATGTGGGCTCACTGCAGTCCAACGCCGGCAGGTAAAAGCACTCCAACCTTATAAATGAATGGCACATTACTCCTCTCATGGAGCACCCACCAACGCTCCACATTTGGCTCTCGGTTTGGGGTTTTTTTCAATAAATATGACAAGAGAGAATGCAATTTTATGTTAGAAAACATGACAACACTACAGATACACTTTGTTTTCACTGATACCCCCAAACTTTCTTCTTACCTGAACAAAATGACTAGGTGTCTCACTGCACACAGAATGGATCTGTCCATTTACTATTGGAATTATCTTAGCTAAAGGCAGGCTGACACTGGAATAACTGAAAAATCATCACAAGAATTATTTTTTGAAATTATCTCACAAGCATTTCACATTTTAATTAGAAAATATGTAGTCATTAAAGAATATATATAGAAATTTATTTTAAAAACCTAGACATAATTATATCACCTAGAAAAAACAACTACAATTGCCTTAATGGATAATTTATTCTGGTAATTCTTATAAATGTATGCTTTTATGTACTTATTTTTAACAGAAAACTGTAACTCTCCCCAAGAATACTATTTTTTTTTTCTTCTTTGTTATGAGCATTTTCCCATTTTCCTAAAAGTATTAAAGATTTTGCCTTTTTAAATTTTTTTTTTGGGGGGCTGGGGATTTAGCTCAGCGGCAAAAGCACCTGCCTGGCAAGCGCAAGGTCGTGAGTTCGGTTCCCGGTACCGGAGAAAAACCAAAAAAAATAAAATAAATAAATAAATAAAAAAAAAATTTTTTTTTGGTACTGGAAATTGAACTCAGGACTTCACATTTGCCAGGCAGGTACTTGTGCCACTGAGCTATATCACCGGCCCTGTCTTTTTTCTTACACAAGATTTCCCTAAGTTGCTAAGTTGTTCAGGCTACATTCTAGTTAGTGATTCTTTTGCCTCAGTCTCCATTCATCCCCAGTTGACTGGTTTTTACTGATTATATGGTGATCTGTCCTCTAGGTAAGACAATTTTTATCAGCTCCCTAGAGTTGAGCACTACATTTCTGCATTCAAGTTTCTCATTAAGTTTGTGTGTGTGTTGTGTGTGCGTGAGTGTTTCAATATAAGTAACTCTGTAAGAACATGGAATTACTGGTTAAAGGGCATGCACGTTTCCAGAGCGTGGGAACGCTGTTGCTCCATCGTGACTTCTTTCCACACCGTGCACTATCTTTTTCTTTAATCTTTGCATGTCTGATGTGTGAGATGATATGGTACAGGTGAAGTCTCTATTCCTCTTAATTACTATCAATGTTGAATGGTTTTTATACTGTATTCTAGTGAACTAGAGCACTACTTATCTGCAAATATAAATAGGAAAGGTGGGCATTATTCTTGGTACTTCCTTCTCCTGCTGGTATCTCATTGCCCCATAATCCTAAATATCCATCCTTCCTCTTCCCTCTTCCCCTGTGTGCTGGAATTGAATCCAGGGTCTGTTTCTGGACTTTAATGGGATTCCACTAGTTTGCATTTTGTAAGTAACACACTGTTTTGATAATTAGCACCTTAAATATTTTACAGGAAATGCACATTCATTGCTTTTCTTTTTAAATAATTTCTTGCATAGTCTCAACTTGTTATTTGTCCAGAAAACTTCACTTTCCTTTGCCAGATTTTAAGATTTGCAAGTCAACTATCCTCTAGTCCCCAGTGGGGTATTAACAGTACTTTGAGTATAGTTACAGATTCATTTTAGGAGGCTAATTTTACTTTTTTTAGTTGATTCTTTTGAGTTTCTAAGTATAAAATTGTATCACCTTCACATGACAATAGTTTTATTCTCTCCCTTTCAAAAACTAATATCACTTTTAAAAAATAAGAATTTAACTTTGAAAATCAAAGGTCAATTCACAGTTTATTAGAACTGTAAGGAAACTTACAAAAGTTGTCTGTTTTTGATTTCTTGGATTTAGTCTCCAGAATTGGTCTTTTCCTCGCTTTCCTGCATCATTTACAATGAAATGATGTTGAATAAATTATCAACACCGAACATCTTTATGTTTTCTGAATTTAATGGAATCACTTTGGCATTTTAAAGTATGTTTACTTTTGATTGCAAATATTATTTTATTACATAAAATGCTTATTTATTGGAAGTGGTTTTATCAGTAAGAAATAGTTTGTTGAATGGCTTTCAATAACACTGAAGAGATTTTTGTCCTCTTAATTCATTAATGTCACAGTACTGCAGAATAACGAAAAATTCTGGGCTCTGATATCAGACAGGAGTTATAGAACACCCGGCTTTAATACTCCTTAGCTTTTAAATTGAAGTTATTTTTCTGTGCTATTGTCTCACAGTTGAAAAATGAGAAAAAATATTAGTATTTATTTCCTAATGATACTTCAAAAATTCTGTGAGATACCCATTATTATACTAGCAGACAAAAAAATGGCTTCTATTTCTGAACTCATTTAGAATCCGAATTCATATTCTCTCTCTTGCCCCCTCTCCCTCTCTCTCCCTCTCCCTGCAGGCGATCAAACCTAGAGCCTTGCACCAGGCAAGCATGTTACCACGAAGCTACATCCCACTTCTTTCAGACTTATACATTTATATTCATATTTAGTCTATACAGTTTTCCTTTTAGGTCCAAGTTCATATTTTCTATTAGGTTTTTACTTTGATAAGACAGCTCTGGATTTTAAAATATTCATTATACATATATTAATATGCATACATGCTTATATAATATAGATAGCATATATATAAAATATACATCTTTGTATCATTTTCAATTAATTCTCTTCAGAGGTCTGGATTAATAATGTACATAAATAATAATGATATTTATCAGAAACAACTGAAAATCTTACTCCTTTTCTTATTTTTTACTTTTACTATTTTTTTTTTTTTTTTTGGAGATGAGGTCTTGCTGTGCAGTTCAGGCTGTCTTAAGTTTAGGGCAATTTCCCTGCTCCAGCCTTCTGAGTGTTGGGATTAAAGGCGCGTGCCACCAAACCCAGCTGAAAAGCATCCTTCTTTTTCTGGCTAGAACTTCCACATGGTAGGTATTAATGATAAGAGTAGGTACAATGACTCTGGATGAAGGCTCAAAATGTAACTGAGGAATAAAACGTCAAATCAAAGTAGCACATCAGCTTGTACATGAAAATGTGGAGAATAACTACTACAGGAGTTCAGAAAAGGCAGACTATCCAGGGTTAATATGTGTGAAGGATATTTTTTATTTCCGCAGTGAATAAGATAAGAATTTGTTCATGTTAAACAACTACTCCAATTCTTTCTCACCATTTAGGAACTAACTAACACTTAGCCAGGTAAAGATTATAGTGATATTTTATTAACTGGAGTATCTTGATCTTAAATGGAAGGTAGGCTTACTCTTGAGCTGAAGTTTACTTTTATGTAACTTAAAAGAACTGTTAACAAAGATCTTATGGTCATATTCAAATTGCTTCAGAAAATAAACTGTATGGCTGTAAGTATTTCAAATGCTCAATGTTAATAGCAAATTATTTTTCTGTACAGTAGACAGGTCCCAGAGCTATGCAAATAATGTTTGCCATTTATATTTGGCATTTACACAGATGTCACACTGGATATCAATTACGCTTTCCGCAATTTTTGGGGGGGTGGCGAATAAGGTTTCAATTGAAGCGTAGGCTGGCCCTCAAGTTCAAGATCTTCTTGCCTCAGCCTTGAGTGCTAGGACTACAGATGTGCACCACCATGCCTGGCTTTGTTTCCTCAAATGTTAATATGAGAGTTTCCTGTCAGTCAACACTGACATGTGATACAAAAGTCTACAAAACAGAGGTCCTTAAATAGTGTGGATTCTAATATGAGACCAATGGTGCTCAGGCTGTAGTGACAACTCTATACTAAATCATAAGATATCTTCTGACATGGTAATAGTTATGATTAACATCACTAATAATAATACTAAGTACAATAAGGGCAGAAAAGGAATATGTCTAAATAATTTCAGAGATAATTCTAAAAAGATAATTATATATATTATAACTGTAAGGAGATGATTTGCCAAATAAGAATCTATACAAAGATGCCTGGTTATTATAACGACCAAAGTATGTCATTTAACAAAGCATGTTACTAAGTAACGTAAGCCAATAAGGGCTTGTAGTACTGGAATATTTTTAAAGAATACATTAAAATTTAAGTACATTAACAGTTTTATATTCTAAAGAGTTAAAAAAATAATTAGAATTTAGCATACAGAAAAGTAGCTTTTTAAGTAATCTAATATAAAGGCAAAGGGTTTTGGGAAAAAAATGCAAATTTTAATACTGCATCCAGAAGGAACTTGTACCTATAAAGAAGTCATTGGCTTGAAAATGTTTCGTTTTGTTTTGTTTGTTTTTTGGTCTTTTTGCGACAGGGTCTCACCATGCAGTTCAGGCTGGCCTTGCGCTCACTTTGTAGCCCAGGGTGGTCTTGAACTCACAAGGATCCTCCTGCCTCAGCATTACAAATGCTGGGATTACAGGCATTATGTGTCACCATGCCCGGTTTAAAAGTGTTTATTTTGTTAGAAAATAAGGAACTCAAATTTATTGCGTAGGATTTCTTTTTATCTGAAACTAAAACACATCAAAAATAGCAGTCTGAAAGAGCATTTATTGGTACCTTACCATGTTAACACCTCACCTTACCTCGCCATGGAGTTACTGGGTTGCAGGTCCTGTTCAGTAGGTCGAAAAAATGTAGCCATGTTGTCCAGAAGACTACTAAAACCCCGGTTCAAACAGGTGTTCAAAACTGTACTAAAATCTGGACTATATAAAATAAGTGTATATTAATTTTGAGATTCTCAATGGAAAAGCAAACAAATTCAGTAATTATGTGGTTACCTTTGAGAAACACCAATATTTATGGTCACAATCTCTAACCTCATTTCCCTGTCCATCCTCTAGTTCATGGCTCTCCTATGCTGCTCCTTGAGCAAGCCAAACATTAGGATCTCTGTGCCTCCCCTTCTGCCTGGGACTGCATTCTCTCTGAACGGAAGGCTCACATGCACGGTACAGTCATGTTTCCACTAAAGGAGATCTCCTCACAGAAGCCTTCCCCAACCAACCTATTAAAAACAGTATCCCTGGTCACTCTCCAGTTTTGTTTTTTTTTTAGACAGGGTTCCCTTTTCCCCATAGCCTTGCCAGCATTTGTTATTGATTTCTTGATGACAGCCACTCTTTCTGGAGTGAGATGGAATCTCAGTGTTATTTTAATTTGCATCTCTTGAATGACCAATGATGTTGAACATTTTTTCATGTATTTATTTGCTGGTGTATTTCTTCATCTGAGAAGTGTATTTCACCTCAGATGCCCATTTCTGGATTGTTTTTTAATCTAGGGGGCCTGATTTTTTTCAATTCTTTGTATGTTCTAGATAAAAGTCCTTTGTCTGAGGGACAACTAGCTATAATTTTTTCCCACTCTGTGGGTTGTCTTTTCACTCTGTTGGTGATTTCTTTTACTGTGCAAACACTTTTTAATTAGGTGAGATCCCACTTTTTGATTCTTCGCAGTATTTCCTGTGCAGTCTGGATTTTGTTCATGAAGTCTCTGCCTACATCTATGCTTTCAAGATTTTTACCTATTTTCTCTTCTGGTAGATTTAGTGTTTCTGTTTTAATGTTTAAAACTTTGATCCATTTTGACTTTAGTTTTTAGTGCCTGTTGATACACATGGGTCTAGGTAGTCTTCAGCATGCAGAAAGCCAGTTTTTTTTAGCACCATTTATTGCAGAGGCTATCTTTCTTCCAGTGAACATGTGTGGCTCCTTTGTCAAAGATAAGGTAGCTGAGTGTGTTCGGACTTGCATCTGCAACTTCTACTGTGTCCCACTGATCCTTACGTTTGTTTTTTTCCCAATACAATGTTGATTTTATCACAGTAGCAGTGTAGTATAATTTCAGGTTAGGGATTGTGATGCTCTGACTTGCCTTTGTTGTCCAGAATTTCTTTTGTTATTCTAGCTCTCTTCTGGTTCCAGATGAATTTTAGGAATGTTTTCTCTAGTTCTGTGAGGTATGCTAATGGGTATTTTGACTGGGATTGCATTAAATGTGTATAACAGCTTTGGGAACAGGGCCATTTTCACTATGTTGGTTCTTCCTATCCATGAGCAAGGGCATTTCTCCACTTTTCTGATATCCATTCAATCTCTTTTTTTCAGAGTACTGCAGTTTTCAATGTATAGATCTTTTACTTCTTTTGTTAGATTCATTCCTAAGTATTTCATTTTTTTGGATGGTATTATAAAGGGTGTGGTTTCCCTAATTTCTCTCTCTGTGAGTTTGTTGCTTGTGTACAGGAATGCTACTGATTTTTGACTGCTCTACTTTTGGTGGGAGCATAGACTGGTATAATCTTGTGGAAATCAGCCTGAAGATTCCTCAAAAAACTAGAGTAAGGGGTCCCATTCCACCCAGCTATTCCCCTTCTGGATATCTTCCCAGCAGAATTAAAAACATCATACCATAGCAATATATATGCACTCATGTTTATAAATGCACAATTTGTAATAGCTAAATCCTGGAAACAACCCAAATGGCCAACAACTGAGGAATGGATAAAAAAGATGTGGTTTTTTTTTTTTTAATATAATGGAATACTACTCAGCCATGAAGGATAAATTGGAGACTTTTATAGGGAAATGGATGCAACTAGAGACCATACTCATAAGTGATATAAATCAGACTTGCATGTGTAAACATCATATTGTCTCCCTAGTGCAAGAAACTGAATGAGTAAATAAGATCCAAAAAGTACAATAGATATTGTGAATAAGGAAGAAACTGTTCAAAAGAAAAGAAAAACTGTGATGGCAGAAAGGAGAAAGAAAGGAAGGGAACAGGAAAAATAAATATATATACACACACATAAGATAGCTAAGATAGTTATACAGCTAATTTCTCTTAGTTCACTAAAAAGAAACGTCTGTGCTAACATTGTTTGGACAATATTTCAGGTGTATTATCTTGTACTCTGAACAACTACTATGAAGATAACAATATGCAATGTATTAATTATTGTTACTCTCCTACTAGCCTGTTCTGAAACTCTGTTTTACTGTTATTTTTATTTTTTCTCTTTAAAATAAAATAAAAAAAAATAAAGACAGGGTCTTGCCACATAGTTCAGGCTGGCCTTGAGGTCATTGTGTAGGCCAGGCTGGCCTCAACCTCGTGGCGCTCTTTTTGCCTCAGTTTTCCAAGTGTTAGGATTATGGTTGTGCACCATCACGTATGTCTCTCTACCCTCTTAACTTGCTCATGCTCATCAATGAAGTTACCAGCATTCGACATTTTATTCACCTTACTAGTTTACTGTTTGTTTGTTTTTTTCTCCCACTAAAATATAAGTTCCAGGGGCTGGAGATTTAGCTCAGTGGCAAAGCACCTGCCTGGCAAGCATAAGGTCATGAGTTTGATTCCTGGTACCGGAAGAAAAAAAACAAAAAACAAACAAAATATAATTTCCAAGAAGGCCGTTTTATCACTAACATTCTTTGTGCAAAGCTGGCTGTTGACCAGCTTTGCTCATAAACACAGGGATACCACCTTACTTCTAATAGAGCACTAGGGCTATAAATGGGGGAATCTCAGCACATAGTTAACAGTTAAAGCTTTGGGAGTATGTATTATTGGCTGGGACTGCTGAGGATGAAGTAAGAATAAATACCTGAGAAACACAATGTTTAAAGGAAACAGAGTCAGAAGAACTATGAAGAAATGGTCTGAGACTTAGAAGAGAAAGCAGAATATTACAGTCACGGAAGTCATGCGACAAAAGAATTTCATAAAGGCTTGACAAGTGTTAAATATCAGAGAAAGGTGAATTAAGAGGACCATTACAAATTCTTGGGATCTGGAAAAAGATTCCTGATAACCTTTTCTAAAGCTTCATGGAGTGACTTGGTAAAATGTGAGTAAGGAGAAAAATAGAAAGTGCTACTGTAGAAAAAGGACTAAAGGGGCTGGGGATTTAGCTCAGGGGCAAAGCGCCTGCCTGGCAAGCGCAAGGTCGTGAGTTCGGTTCCCGGTACCGGAGAAAAACCAAAAAAAAAAAAAAAAAAGAAAAAGGACTAAAATTTGATGAATCCAGACAGCGGATTCACAGCTTAGTTAACCTAAAACTGCTGACTAGAGAAATAGACTTGAATTACTCCAGGGAAGCATAGAATACCTTAACTTAAAAGAGATTGTGACACTCTCACCACTCAAGATAAAATGTACTAACACTCGTTATTTCACAATGATAAAATTATCTTAAAGAGTTTAAATGATGCAGCCAACACCAAACAGCTAATAAATAAGAAACAACACTGAACCTAGGGCACGTGGTCTTCGAATGCATGGTCTGGTGCTTTCTCCAGTTTTTCCAGTGTGATTCTCTTTGTGTGACTCAAAACAGTAACACTTAGGATAAAGTGAAATTTTTAACATTTAATGTTTTTCAGAAGATTATAATCTACCTGAAAAACGTTTAGGCTGGGTGAATAGTTTTTAAGTTGGAGTATGAGGTGTGAGAGTGTGTGTTTGTACACAAGTATATGCAGGCATGTGTGTAGACTGGAGGGCTAGCTTCCTATCTTCCCACCGGCGTTCAGTGACTTCAAGTTGTTAGCCTAAGATCTGTTGCAGCTATAATGTTGGTACCTGATGTTTTAATTTCTCCCCCTGCAGTTCTGGTTGTTAAACATTTACTGCTCTCTATGGGGTATTACCCTGCCATGCTTTTTTCAAAATATAAATATAAACTACCTTCCAGCTCCTCAATCAGTATATCAGGGTTTGTAGTCCAGAAAAGTAGGTGGGCAATGTGAGTATCTTTTAAAAAAAAATCCCCGCTTTCCTCCAGTTTAAGTAGGAAATTCTATGTAAAGGCACAGAATAGATTCAAAATTTAACATAATATTATGCTGAATGCGTGGTTCAGGAAAAGTGCAAACATGGTCTTAGGTGCATCCAAAATACAAACACATTTTCCCTGGTACACACTGTCTACATACCTTTCCAACATGTCTCTGGTTTCATTGAGAAGTTTAATAGTGGTAATGTCCCTGGAAGAAAGCCCGTAGGCCTGTAAAATTAAAATACCATAGTTCAGGGTTTCAAATATTCACAAAAGGTCAAAAAGAAACTAATCACACTCACAAACACAAGAGTTTACAAAATCTAAAAGTCTATGTTCAGTGAACAACCAAAACCCCCAAACTCAAAAAACCTGCAGAGGCTTATGTGCACAGGTAGTAGTATTTAAAACACAAGTCGAAGTATACTTTGTAAGGTGTCTGTTTATCTGGCCCTCCTTGGGTAGATTTCTAGCACATACAGACAAAGAAAGAAGAGGCTATGAGAGTGCAAAGGTCTGGGCTTTTGTTCTTTTCTTTAATTATTCAGAATTTTCATCCATCTATTTTTTTCATCCATCTACTCTGAGACTCTGTATTGCCACTGAATGTGAAGTCTTAGGTTTTAATTTCAATTTAGTTAAGATCTGGTTCACCACTCTTTCTTAACCTGTATCTTTGACTTATTTTCTTTCTAGTTCCAATGTGGAATTTTAAAATGTGGAAATTGTTATATAGTACCAGAAAGCTTTAAATTTTTCTTAATGCTTCTTCTTGGGGTCCTATTTTGTAAGTCAGTCTTCTCTAGTTTCTTCCATTAATTCCACCCCATCCATCCTCCCTTTTAGCCTTTATCTCACCAGTCATGGGGCTCCCTCATATGAGGAAAATCTTTTTGTGTGTACTCATGAATGTGGGGTCTCCTGACACCCAAGATCATCTCTGGGATCTTCAGGGGGTGGGGAAGTTGGCAGGTAGTGAGACGACAACATTCTAGTCTCCGGGACTCTGTGCTGAGGTGTTCTAAGGTTTTTCTTGTTGTGAAGTGAGAGTGATTCTTATCCCAAATGGGAAAAAAATGGGTTTTATTCAGCTTGTAAGTGAGAAACCACTAAATTAAAAACAAGTTACATAACCTGTAATCTTTGGCATTTTTATTATTCTTAATCAATGGATAACTTAAATTTGTCTCCTGAATTCCCTAAAAGTAATGAATATGTTTTCCTCAGATTCCCAGCATACATCAGTATCTGCTACATGACTATTAATAAAATTTGTTGGGTATCTAAAATTATAAATGACCCAACTTTCCTAAATTAATAAGGTTTATTTAAATTGTGGAAATATATGTTTTCAATCACTTTTCAGGAGCCTCAGAAATCTAAATTTTAAGATAGTAACAAGTTTATTAAACATAGAATAACTGGTTTGGTGAAATGGTTCTAAATTAAGCACCTGAATTGCTAATGGTGTTTCTTCATCTGGCATCATATAATGGCATAAAAAAGATTTGGATCCATCCTTATTAATCCAAGAGGAAGATGTATGCTGCTCAACAAGAGTTCTTATTTCTTTTAGTTTTTGCTCCAAGTCCAATAGAGACAAAGAATGTTTAAGAGAAACACTGAAAAAAGAGAAAAGAAAACTGGAATAAATTTTAACTATGCAACACATATATCCTTATACACATTCTCTTCTTAGCAGGCTACTACCTGAAATTCTGTTTCTTCTGGTCGAACCTAAAACTGGTAACTGTACCAGAATAAAATAAGAAATTAGCCATGAGATAAGGGCCATAACTACAGAGCTCAGCAAAACCTTGTTGCAGACTTTGAAGGAAAATTCCTACTACAATTATAGATATGGTTAGTGTAAGTGGGAGGGAAAAGCCACAGGGGCAGATTTTAAAGGAGAGATTTTATCTCATGACTCAAACATTTCTGAATAGTTCAGAAATCAATCAATAAACAATGAGATATTGAAACTTTCCCCCAGTATCAGAAGGTTGATATTCATGAAGAAAAGGGATTTTACAACACAGTACCCAGGGCTGGTGTCTGTATTAGATTACAAAGCATTTTACAAACCATTATTTATCATGTTACCTACTTCATTAGAACAATTCTCATTTTTTTTATTCCTCACAATCAAGAAGTCAGAAAAGCCAAAGAAAAACACCTCACCTTCCTAAAATTTTCTGCACAGCTTGTTTAATGACAGTGATCAATTCTGTCAGGCCTATTAAAGGACAAACAAAATTAAAAGCCTTGCTCACTTAAAAATTCCTCCATCATACAAATCAACAAAGTAAGATTCGTAGAAAGGTCATAAATCTAGAGCTCACCATCTCCCAGGAGGTGCTGAATGCTTGACAAATATTGCTGCTGGACATCAGGGGGTGCAAGAACTGTCTGTCAAAACAGAAATGAGGCTACATTACCTTTTTTTAATTAATAAAAAAGCAATGTTTTCCATAAAACTTGAGGTGAGAGTTTTCAGGATCTGGAGTGATAAGATAAATAACATTCTTTAGCATATTAAAAAAGTTATCAAGAGATGAAAAATAATCATAATGCCAAAAGTTCACAATATCATGAATTATAAAGATGTTTATACCACAGAAATTATTATCAGGATAAGTAATATTCAGTTAAACTTCAAACCTGTTGAAAGAAATGTCAGTATGTGCATAAGTATATGACACTTACAGTGCCATTTTTGCCAACTGCTGCATTATCCAGGTAAATATATCCACCAATTATGTTTAACTGCACCCGCAGGAGAACCACCAGCATGCAGGTACTATATACAGCCACGATACTTCTTGTGAAACCTGCAGAGAGAGAAGAAACTCTTTGGTATTGTTACTAAGACACCAACAAATGTATAAAATCATGAATTATCCCTATGACGATTTTTCACAAAATGACTTTAAAATATATTTGTAATTGTGTCAAGTATAAAAATCAAAACTATATCTGTTCAAAATATTCCATCTTTAACGCACCTCCTTACAACTGGCTTAGAATAACTTAAGTATGATTTTTTAACTGAAGTGATAACCAATACAAATATGTTGGGTAGAAGAATTATATTTTATTAGCTTAGAAAGGTAAACTGAGGTGCTAGCAGTTGCAGCCTCAACAGAGTTGTCCGAGCTTAAAAGGGAGAGAAGACAGCTGAGCAGGGAAGAACTCTAGTCTTCCACAGCAAAGAAAGGAGAAGATGCCGGTAAGGACAGGAGAAGGTACAGAGAGACGGCAAATCCCAGAGACTCGGTCTCCCAGCACCATCGCACAGAATGGCCAAGATGGCAGAGGGAGCAGAGGTGGTGACTGCCGTCAAGAGGTCTGTCTACCAGAAGGAAACTGTCCCTGTGGATTTAGCAACACACAGTTACTACTGACCCTTGAAGTAAAAACCTCCTTTCAAATACAATGCTAATTACATCAGTACCTAATACAGGCATATGCTGTCTAGGACAATTTCTCATATCAGTATTATACGAACAACAGTAATACCACCATCAACATTCACGGAGTGCTTCCTATGACTATTGATTCATTTGTTTTATAAGTATTACTGTATTTAACTGCAATGACAACTCCGTAAGGCTTATAAAGAGGCACTCACACAACACAATACAAAAATTTTCCTTTATAAATAGCTTAAGGATGTGCTCTTATGTGGGCTTACTTATTATCTTTAGATCCTCCCATATTTCCAGCTTGTTCGAAGGTCTAAAAGAAAAAAATCAGATAAGAAAATAATTAAGTTAAATAAATAAAAACTTTGAACTTTATAAATTTATATTTAATTTTTAAAATGAAGAACAATACAATATCTGAAGAAAAGCCCAAAAAATACAGCAAGAAATAATTATAATTCTAGTAAGCAATAATAGGAAGCTTTTTTACTGGCATAAACTCATCTTTTCGCTCTTCCTGAGCACATGCAGACATGTGCTATAAAGCCATAAAGGAAAATCAGGAAAAATGTTTCTTTCTTTTCCTTATGCACCATTTCACAAATAATGAAGTAGATCCTGTGTACACTTTCTTTGTTTTAAAGTATCATTATGAACATATGAATGTACTTATATATTAAATACGTAATACGTAATTATTATCCCTCTTGGTGTTCCAATTGCTCATCTGTGCTCATGGGATCATGGGGGCTCTAACGTCATCAGTGGCCGAAGCCACTGATGAGATCATAATTTGATGGCATTCCTGGGAGGGGTGGAAAATGGAGGAGGACTGAGTTGAAGGGACTGGGTCATGGCGGAGCGACCATGGGGTCTGTATCCGGTCCCCAGCGCCTTCTCTGGCTCTTTTCCCTTGCTCTGCTTCCCAGCCACCATGACTTGAGCCGCTCCCCTCCACCAGGCCCTTCCACGACGTTCCGCCTCAGCTCAGGCCCACAGCAACGGAAGCAGCCTGCCATACACTGAAACCATGAGCGAAAATACATCTTTCCTCCTGTAAGTGCTTTTTCTGAGGTATTTGGTCACAGTGCAGAAGCCGTAACACAAGGCCACAGGGTTTTTAACTTAATTTCACTGATCTTAAATCAGCACTTCATTTTGCCCACTCCCGAATCCTGTGAAACTAACATAATTACTAAGTCTTAATCCCTCAAGCCAGGTACATTAGTTGTAAAATCACAGTAGCAATATTAAAAAGGGTCTGAAGTTTTGTCAATTCTGTGTGTCAGAAGACTATATATTTCATGAAGGATACACAGTCAAACTTCTTTTCTGAAGTCACTTAGCATAGTTTCTGTCTTTGTGGTTATAGTACTGACTAGATTTACATTTAGGTTTATTTCACTACCAATATTTAGCTATTGCTTTTTTTTTTTTTTTTTTTTTTTAGTCTTTTTGAGGCAAGGTCTTGCTATGCAATTCAGGCTAACCTCGAACTCACAACGATCCTCCTGCATCATCCTCCTGAATGGTGGATTACAGGTATGCACCACCATGCCTGGCTAGATATTGCTTTTTAAACATGTAAATGTACTTTTATAATTATGTAAAATATTTACATGGTTCCAAAATCAAGTTTGTACAACATAGCACATTCAAAAAAGTATGTTCTTATCCCTCTTCACTTTGTCCCATATTCACAAGTGACTGTTATAAAAGTCTTTAAGCCAGGTGTGGTGGTGTACACCTGCAATACCAGCACTCCAGGAGGCTGAGGCAGAAGGACTGTTTGAGCCCAGAGGAACTCAGCCACTGAGAGACACTGTCTCAAAATAAAGAAATGAGGAAGGGCCTGGGGATGCAGCTTCACACAAAGTCCCTGGTTCAATTCGCAATACCACCACTACCCCCCAAAAATTCCTTTATTTTTTACTGTTTTACTTTATATAAGGAAATATGTATTATTTAATATATTTATATCTGCCCTCTTAAATGGAATGATACTACATAATTTTTGTTTACTGTAAAAATTATAGCATTATACTCTGGCAATTTTTTCACAGTAGTATACAGACAGCAGTCATCTTTTTAAATAAATATATTTAACTCTCCTATATGGATATACTATGTGGATGTAATTCAGTATTTTTCAGAGCTCCTAAGTGGAAAACCCAGTTTTGTTTCTCTTTCTTATTTCCAACTTACCACAGACCAATAATTCTTGTAAAATAAAAATAAATTATTAAAAAAATTAAAAGCAACAAATACATGCAAAATACAACCTGATACTCTTTATTACTATATTCAACATAAAATTGTATTTCAGCAAGAAATTGAATTATCATTGCAATTGTGGGGTATTGTAACTTTTTGCCTTTCTCTGCTATGAACAGATGCTGCAGCTTCAATCATCCCTGCCCTAGACAGCATAGATTCAAAACATATGTGGAGTAGATCCTACAAGGTACCAAGGCACACTTCATCTAATCTATAGGATCCACGGTGGAGTGCCATATTGATTCTTTTTTGTTTTTTGGCAGTTCAGGGGATTGAACTCAGGCCTCCCTACATACTAGGTAAATTTTCTACCATTGAGCACCATATTTATTTTGATTAAATTGAGAATGGACTATCAGGTACAGACCCCATCTAGGTATTTTAATGCAAGTAAATCACATCTTTTTCAGAAAAAAATTCAAAGTGCCACTAAGAAAATAGTAGGAAGAGCTTAGTTGCAGCAATGTGAGAAATAGAAACTTAGGGTGTCTGAATTGAAATTGTGCATGCTGAAAGTGTATTTTATTTGGTGTGACTTTGGTGGGAGATGGCAGTCATACCACCTAGGACACTCCTTTGTATTGACAGTCACTAAAACCGGATTTCAAAAGTGGATTTAAAATACTGACCTTTGTGCTAGGGATGGAGCTTAGCAGTACAGCGTTTGGCTAATGTGCAAGAAGCCCTAGGTTTGATTCCCTAACATCACACACACACACACACACACACACACACACACACACACACACAAAATCTAGACTCAGATCTAATGCTCATTATCTTCAGAATTTTTGTTTTGTTCTTTGAGACAGGGTCTCACTTTGTAGTTCAGCCTGGCCTTGAACTCACTTTGTAGCCCAGGTTGCCTGTGAACTCTCAGCAATCTTCCTGCCTCCGCCTCCCGAGTACTGGGATTACAGGTGCACACCACCTGCCAGCTTCCTTTTTGAGAAATTCGGATTCCAAATTTGCACAGGACAGGGAAAAATGTTCTCTATGCAAAGATTCCTTTTAAATGGTTTGTCGGATGGAAATTTACTGTAAGTTAAATACAATGAGACTTTTTAGTGCCACTGAAATACTGTTTAAATCTAAACCCTTAAAATGTATTCTCTCTTGTGATGGGAGGTATTTAAGATTCTCTGTCACTGAAACTTTATTGCCACTGTCAATCTTCAATAAGAGTGCCAAATACCGCAAACAATGTGGCTTATTTGCTATTATGAAACTGATAAGGCTGTTAAATAGTTATTATCAAACTAGCTTAATAGGAAAATTAGTTTGATAGGTTTCTATGATATCTGTTGTGGTTTAGGTTTGAAGCATTTCCCAAGAGCCTCCTGTGTCTGGAAGGTGACTGAGTACAGGTGCTGTTCCAGCCGAGGAGCTGAGCTCCTCGCTGGCTTTTGGGTAGGAGGTGGGGTCTGGGGAGAGGTGGTCACTGCCGGTGTGACCGAGAAGGGCAGCTCTCCCTCCCCGCCTCTGCCCTGCTCTCTGTATCTTCACCACCATGAGGTGAGCAGCTCCCTCCACCCAGGCCCTTCCCCTTCCTATCTCTTCCTTGGAGCCGGCTGACCGTGGACTGAACCTCTGAACACCACGGGCCTAAATAAACCTCTCCTTCAAGCTGTAGGTGTAGTGTTTTACAAGCTGTCACGGTCAGGTAAATTATTAATATCGTATGCTGTGCCATATTTGTATTTCATTTTGCTAGTAATTGATCATGTAAATTCATCACCATACTTAGAAGGAACCAAAGACTTTTGAAATGTTTTTTAATTCATTCTAAAAACTTTAAGTGAAGTCTATGAACAAAAATTTACCTGTTTTTAAGCAGAGCTGTCAGGCTCTCCGAATTGAGTTGCTGCATTAAGGCTTCTCTCAGTGTTGGAAGCATGGACAGCACTGTAACACAAACAGAACACTTAAAAGGTCACAAGTGACATTTCTACCTGCATTGAAAAATGTAGACTGTTTTAAGCCATGTGATAAGACTAGCAACATGTAAGAACTTGGAGAGAACGTCAAGGTTAGAGAAATGCACTACTGACAGTAATATAAAACTATTATGGGCTAATAAATCATCTATTTCTTATGTTAACTGGAATAAACTATACATACATTATGATCACAGCAATGTAAACAAGTACATGCAGAAGAAAAAACAGAAAGAAACCCCGTGGCGGTCTCTGGGCCATGGACTATGTGTAGTTCTTTTTTCCCCCTTTCTTTTCTATACTCTCCAATAAATGTTTACTTCTAACAATAAATGTTTACTTCTGATATAATGAAAATTATCAAAACTAACATTTTTATAATTAGCAATACTTTTTGTTTCACATTTTATTCCTAATTTTGAAAAAAGGTTATTAGATAATACAAAGCAGTATTTATTGTAACATAAGACAAAAATGCAGCAGGCTAGGAATTGAGTGCTAGAGTTTTAGTTCTGACTTTGTCAATGGCTACTGCATGTCTATTTCTCCCAGCAATAATGTGAAGACAAAATGAGATGCAATACTGTATAAGGAAAAAGTTCACAAACAATACACAGGAGTTACTTTGTGTCTCTGCATTGTATAAAAAATCCAGGAGACACACACACTTACAAATTAAAATGAGTTTCTAACACTAAAATGACAAAATTTTAAAAATACTTAAAAATTCAATGTGGAATTTTCTTACTGTTAGTTTTTTACTACAGTAAAATAAGTTACAGAAGCAGGAGATTAGGGCATGGCCATCTGGCTGGGCAAGTGGGTGTGACCTGTCAATCACAGAGATCCAGGACACATATGCCCAAACCCTGCATTTAGGACCAAGCAGAGACTGTTCTTTAATTCTTCTGGCATGAAATCAAGCAAGTTTCTGACAGAATAGCCCAGATGCGATGACAAAAAGCACATAATGATCTCAACAGATACAGAAAAAGTGTTTGAAAAAATCCAAAATCCCTTTCTGACTAAAAACTCTGAAGAAAATAGGTATAGAATGACCTTATCTCAATCTGGTAAAAGCCAATTATGATAAACTTACCACCAACATCATATTAAATGGGAGAAAACTGAAAGTTTTCCCTCTAAAATCAGGAATAAGACAAGGACATCTACTATTATCACTCATGTCCAATACAGTCCTTGAACACTGACCAGAGCAATCATGCAAAGCAAAGAAAAAAAATGGAAATTTAAAGGAAAGGAAGAAATCCAATTATCATTATTTGCAGGTGACATGATCCTTCCTGTTGAAGACCCCAAAATTATACTAAAAGACTCTTAGAATTAATAACCAAATTCAGCAATGTAGAAGGATACAAAATCAACACACAAAAATCAATAGCATCCCTGTATGCTAAAAACTCAGTGAAAAACAAATTAGTAAGAAAAAAATACCATTCACAATAGGACCAAGAAAAATTAAATACTTAGGAATTAACCTAAGAAAGTAAAAGATTAGAAACAAAAACTAT